AGACAGACAGACAGACAGACAGACAGACAGACAGACAGACCGACCAACAGACCAACAGACAGAGAAACAGACAGAGAGAAACCCTCTTTCTCTATTTTCACCATACTCTCCTGTCCCCTCCCTCTGCCGCCTTCCCCTGGGCAGGCAGACGTGTGGAAGGAGGTGTGTTTTCCTGGAGAGTTCTGGCTCCCTGAGGGCAGAGGCTGCAGCTTGTCCCCCTGCTCATTCCTCACGTGCCTGCCTTGCCCATGCAGAGAGAGTAGGGCCCGCCTGGGCTCCAGATCTGCTGCAGTGATACAGGCTGTGCAGACTCCCTGCCAGGCACTGTCAGCTCCTGTCCTGGAGTCCCTTGACCCTGCTACCCCTGCCTGCTGCAGTGAGCCCAGCCCAGCCCTCTCCCCCATCCCCAGTCCAGTTGAAGCCAGCTTCCAAGGTAGCAGCTCCCCTGGAGGGACCCTGTTTTGTTGTACTTGGAAACACACCTCTCATCAGGACTCCATTCTTTATAGGCCCTGACCTTCAGGGTCAGCCTGGAACAGGGTTGCTGGAGTCAGGTGTGATAGGGGATGGAGCCCCTGGGCCCTCTTCAGTCTCGTTTTCTACTCCAAGCCTTCATGTGGGTCATATGGCCACCCCATGGTAGCCAAAGCAAGGAGTTGGGGCGCCACCCATGTCTTCAGTCAGGCTTTGTTTCTGTTGTACCCCCTTCCTGTCCCTTCCCCTCCTAGTCTTGCGCTCTCTCTGTCTGTCTCTTTTTATTTTCCAGAAAATCAATTCGAGGAAAGGGAAAGGGGCAAAAACGAAAGCGCAAGAAATCCCGGTATAAATCCCAGAGCATTGGTGCTGCTAATTCCTGGAGCCTCCCTGCGTCCTTTCCCGCCACCCTACTTTCCCTCGGCCTCTCCTGGTTCTTCTGCCCTCCTTGCCCCAGTGTCTCTCTCTCACTCTCACCGTACTAATGGGCACCGATGGGTAAACTGGTGGTGGTGTTGTGGGCCTGGGGCTGGGGTATATGGGAGGGGGGGCTGCGTGGGCCTGAGGATTCAGAGAGGGGATTCTGGCTTGGCTGGGCACACACAGGCTTTCTCTCACCCACTGGGTGCTGGTGGCAGTGGGCCTGTGTTGGTACAGGTGCTGGGCACTGGGTCCCATGCACCCAGCTGGTTTCTACCACTGGGCTTCTACACACATCTGGAAGCTGAATGGGTGGGTAGGAGACACAGAGAAGAAGGGGTGTCATGGCAGGCGGTGACTTACTGTGGGCTGAAGGAGGAACGTGGGTGCGTTAAGCCCTGTGCTGTGGCCCTTGCTCACTCATCTGGGAAGTATCTTGGCTCCTCATGGACTTGGGACCTTTGAAGGGCAATAGCCTTGTAGCATGGCCCACAGTGCCACAGGACTCTCCCTAGGGCGTCCCTGTGCTCCCACTACGGGAGCACACAGTGTCTCTGCCTGGGCCTCTTGCCCTGTCCTGGGTTGCCCGCTTTTGCTGGAGGGGCCTGAGCACAAGCCTTGCCTGGCACAAAGGTGCCCCAGGTGATCTCATGGGCCTGTGATTGCTGCCCCCAACAGGGGCAGAAGAGTCGAGGTGTGCCCCTCTGGGGACGGCAGCAGTTGGGGCCCTGTGGCCCAAGATGCGCCCTGCATGGCCGTCCTCTCCCTGTGCGCTCTGCCCACTCGTGCCTTGCTCTTCCCGGGCGGGCGTCCTAGCCAGTGCTGCCTCTCTCCTCGCTCTCTGTCTTCTGCTGTGCTCTGCTCCTTCCAGGGCGTGGAAGGATGTGGAGGCCACACGCCGGCTGGGGGGCCGCTGCCATGCGTCAGGGGTGTTGCATGGGTTTTTCTCTCTCTGCTGACGCTCTAGCTTAGATGTCTTTCCTTTTGCCTTTTTGCAGTCCCTGTGGGCCTTGCTCAGAGCGGAGAAAGCATTTGTTTGTACAAGATCCGCAGACGTGTAAATGCTCCTGCAGAAACACAGACTCGCGTTGCAAGGCGAGGCAGCTTGAGTTAAACGAACGTACCTGCAGGTTGGTCGCCAGAGGGTGGGCAGTGAGTCAGAGAGGGGCGCTGGAGGGACAGAGCGCGCGCGTGCGTGCATGTGCGCCTGCCAGCTGCTTGCCCGGCTTCTCCTGCCTGCCTGGCCACTGCCCTCTTCTCTGCCCTCCAGACCCCGTGGGGCTATGGGTGCTGGCCTGGCGGGCCTGCTCTGAGGTCGCCCTGGCTGCCTGTGTGGGGAAGCTGGTTAGTGTCTGTGTGGTTTGGCTTCATGTGGTCTGGACGCAAGCTGTGTATTGTGTCCTGTGGTCCTGCTACTGGTGGTAGCTGTTGGTGCTGATGTTCTGACCTTCATCTGTGCTGATATGGAGAAGTGGAGTCCTTGCTGGGGTCTGCAAGTGGGGGCTCCTGGCCTCGTGCCACCCTCTGACATCTGCACGGCCTGCTTGTCAGCCCCAGGCTTCCCAAGGGATGGAGGCCTCTTCCCCCAGGCTGGGGCTCCTGAGCACAGGGCTGTCTTAGGTATCGCATGGGCAGTTCTGCATCCATGAAGCATTTAGCTAACATCAAGAGCTCTAGATATTCTCATCCTGTCCCAATCATGGTGACAGCCCTGACAGCCTGTACCTTTCTAGGTGTCCCAGGATAGAGCCAGGAGGGCCTGGCATTAGACTATGGACTTTGAAGCCCAGTCCTGGCTTGCTTATTTAGGGGCCTCCAAGTGTCTGTACCTCAGTCCTTCAACCCTAGGGACTGAGGAGGTGCCAAGTGCATGTGTGAACACCGCATGGGCAAGGGCCATGATGGTGGCATCCCTAGTGCCACTGTGTCCTTGCTCGAAGGATTGTTGTTGTGATTCGTAGGTGTTTAGGGGATGCGGGGACTAAGCTGTGTTTTGCTGTGCGTTCTGTCTGTCTTGGAGCTGTGTGGGGACAGGAAATGTGCACCGGTGCTGGGGCACAGTCTCGCTGTGGGGGCTCAAGCTTCCCCGGGATCCCAGGGGAAATGAGGAACTTGTTGGCACTTTTGGGTTTCTGTGGTTATTCTAAGAGGGGACATATGCCTGGCAGTACCCTGGCTCAGTCTACCAAGGATCAGTTCCCCAGCCGGGGGCTGAGGACCCCACCCAGTAGAGGGTAAAGGACCATCAGCTGGTGGCAAGGATCTGAGAAGGTGTTTGATGTCCCTTCTGCTCAACAGGAGCAGCAAAGCCACCAGCCTGTCTCTTGTGGCCTAGACTGAACATTAGTAGAGAGGACAGGCAGTAAGGCCTGGCCTGCAATTGCCAGCCTCTCAGGAGAGGTGTTCTGTCACCCTCCTGGAGCCCAGGTCCTTGGGTCCCCTCTCTTGAAGACTTCACATTCTCAGGGAAGTCCTCTATTCACTGGCTGCCTCTTCTCCCTGGCCCTGCCTCACTCTTGCCGAACAAGTACCTGAAGATGGATCCAAAAACCGTTTCCCCACAGAGACCATCTGGTTAACCTCCTCCACTCTCACCCACCAGCTTTGCAGTGTCACCTCGGGTCTGGCCTCAGGCACATGTCTATTTGTTGCTTTGTGAGGTGTCCCTGTGTCTTGTCTCGTCTCCCCTCGGTTGCTTCTTGCACCGGGGCTTCATGAGGGCAGGGCTGGGTGTCCGTCCCAGGACTACCTTCCCTATGTTCTGTCCTGCTATGCTAGGTGTGACAGGGACCCTGGATTCCCCAGGTGTGGGAGGCTTCTGGCCTCACCACTAGGCTTCCTTTACTGGCCTAACCCTCCGCCTCTGTTGTCCCCTTAGATGTGACAAGCCAAGGCGGTGAGCCCGGCTGGAGGAAGGAGCCTCCCTCGGGGTTTCGGGAAGTGGATCTCTCACCAGGGAAGATGGATGCAGAACAACCGAGACTCACCATGCCGCTGCCACACACCATCACATCAACAGAACAGTCCTTAATCCAGAAGCCTGAAATGAAGGAGGAGGAGACTGCGCAGAGCACTTTGGGTCCGGAGGGCGAGGCTCCGGCAGAAGCATTCCCGGGCGGGTGACCAAGCACGGTCCCTCTTGGAATTGGATTTGTCATTTTTATTTTTCTTGCTGCTAAATCGCCGAGCCCGGAAGATTAGAGAGTTTTATTTCTGGGATTCCTGTAGACACACCCACCCACATACATACATTT